AGAGAGAGAGAGAGAGAGAGAGAGAGAGAGAGAGAGAGAGAGAGAGAGAGATATTCTGTGACATTTTAAATAGATTCTGAACCTTTGTAAATGAAAATCACGATTCTGATGTAAAATGATTTTTAGGTGCACCCCTTACTAACAAGCACTTAAAATAAATGTTTTAATTTTTGAAATATTCAGTACCCTAGAACACTTAGTCAAACTCTGGTTCTCAAGGGCCACTAAACCTGCATGTTTTAGAGGTTTCTCAGATCCAGCACCTGATTTTGATGAATGGGTGATCAACAGGCTTCTACATAGTTTGAACAGGTAATTCAATCAGAGAATCAGGTGTGTTGGATCAGAGAAACAAGAAAAACATGCAGAATAGTGGACCTCTAGGACCCAAGTTTAACACCACTGCCCTAGAGGTACTATTAGTGATCAGAGGATTTTTTTTCTACAAGCAGATGTTTGTTTGATAAATGTCAACTTTTTACAAAATGATTAATATAAAGTTCATTTTTATTTTTTAAGTGTGTATAAATGCCTTGAAGCCACATCACGGAGCAAAGCACAGCCACTTTTTCAATGTTTTGTGGCTTCTTGCCAAACACGCTGTAAGAAAAAGTCGTATTCAATAAACTGAAGTTGATATTAAAACCACCATTGTTAAATAAAATGATTTGTAGAGGGAATCAAACCATACAACACCAGAATTCTGGATCTGAGTGAGGTTTATTGCCACCGAAGCTGACAGGAAACCACACTGGCGAAAAACCAGGAAGTTCATCAATTTATACATGTTCTTCAATGCCTGCGTTCGCCCCCTACTGACCTACGGCTGAATCACAGGCATTCAGACAAAATGCTCATCTAATGTTCTCACTACGTTTGATTATGTGTTGTTATAATTCGGAYATGTAACTAATCTATATCAATCAAAACATGATAGATTAAACATTGTCAACTTTATAAAAAGGAAAACCTAAAAATATAGTATTGTGCTTTTAACATCACCACTAACCTCTAATAACTATAAATTTCTTCAATGGCACTGAAATACCTAAAAGCATTTTTGTCCTTTTTTTCTAGAAAAAAAAACTTCTGATTCTTGTGTATGCACACACTTCCTCTTATGTTTGTGTGTATCTCGTGAAGTGGGGGACAATAGCTGCACAGTCTTAGAGAGCCCCACCCACCACAACTCATGATTCCTGTGAGTGTGTTCACTATTCTGCTCCATCATATCCACAATCATTCAAACAGTCAGAGCAGAGTCTTTGATGCCGGGTTTAATGACTGCCAGCGGGACATTAAGTAGCTTTGCATCCAGGAAGTAGAGAAGGAAATAAAGTAAGTGTACCGGCATAAGCCTGGTACGAATCAAAACATTACATTGTTACAAAAATAATCTGTAATGAGACAAACTGTTCTTCTTATAATAGTTGTTTTTGACCAAAGAATTGCYCTGCTTTGCAAACCTAATGCTTTAAAAACATTAATTAATATCTATATAATAGTAGTAAACTACTATGATRCCAAAATTGAACACAGTATACATAAAAAGGAGGTTTCAGAGCTGTGACTGTACAAGCTTCCCTCACTTGTCCCCTCACTTTTACACAAAGTGTACCAAAAACCATATCACACTGCACTGCGACAAAATCAGAGATGCTATGGTGCCATACTCACAAGCAGTCAAATGAACAGGGTCTGTACACTTGCACTCCAGCAGCCTCCATATTTGTTTGTTTTCCCTGAAGGTGCACCACCCGCCCTTGGAGAGCAGTGAAAGTCATGCTTGTGGTGCGGCACTGAAAGTGTGTCAGAGGGGGGAGGCTCCGAGGCCCGGCCCGGAATCTCCAATCGCCTCGCAGAGGCAGAGGAACAGCCCCGTCCGTCCGGGGCAACAAGCTGAGCAGGGGGGAAAAGGGACAGAGCGAGAGCCCACTGGAAACACAGCATCCGTCACTGCGCCGTGTTAAGCCTCACAGATATTGTTTCACTTCGAGACATGTGTCAACACGTGCTGAGCGCACGACCCTGCTGCTCAGTAGTAGCCGCTGTCCTGTGGAAACCTGGTATGTTCCGAATGTCAGAAGGAAAACATGCACTTGTTTATATTTGTGTTGATGTAATTTTTTACTCACATTCCACTCTTTGACTTTAAGTTTTCTTTTAACTGGCTGTTTCAAGAAAACCTCTCAAGTCTATTAAACTATATATGAAAAACACGTACAGTTTTAAGCAGATTTAAGCTGATCACTAGTACATATGTCAWTCCTTAAAAGTTATGGCAACCAATGAACCATTCTTTAAAACAATGGGTTTGTGTTTGACTGATGAATGTTTCTGTTCATTGCCATAGACATTCGATTTTGTAAAATAAACAAAACAAAATCGCAAAGGAAAACTATGCCTATAGCATGGTGGGCAATARAAATAGAATGGGGCTCTGAATCATTTGATGATTAAAATTCAAGTTCTAATGAYCTGTTTACACGTGAGCAATCTCTGGGAGTATTTTCAAAGTTCAACGCAACAAACATGAAGACCAAGGATGAAGTCGAGTTGCTTCTAYGCACTGAAAAGTGTGATGACTTTATCAATTGTTGCCCATCTGCTCGTGCACAGAAAAACTATTGACTGCAGCTGAGAGAGCCACAACTTCATACCTCTGYAGATGGGGGTGGGGGGTCCCAAAAATCTCCACTCAGACCTGGATTCTGCAGAAAAGCTATGGTTCGTCAATGATTAAAAAAAAACACTCAGCCTGCTGCTGGTATCTGACATCATCAAGGTGATATCTATGGTTAGGACAGGTGTAGATCAGTGGTGTCCAAAGTCAGTCCTCGAGGGCACTCATTAGGTTCAGCTGTGTTGAACCAGGGCTGCACCTAAAACAYGCAGGACGCCGACCCTTGAGGACTGACTTTGGACACGACTGGTGTAGATTCTCAGTCATCCAGGAAATGGCAAATCTAAAAAACTAAAAAAATAAAAATAGCAAAGCAACTGCACTACTACTGTAGTTGAAGACATTGTGCTTCCCATCTTGGGAGCTTTCACGCCTCAGTTCATAACCGAAAAGTATGTCCACGCATTTTCTCAGAAAGTTAAAACTGCTGGTCGACAGATTGAAAGTCAGTACAAAAACAATGAAAGCTGGTAACATTCTAAATGGCAATTATTATGTTTATGTTCAGATTCTTCCAGGAAGCCGGAATTAATAGAACCTCAGCTTGCTGCGTCTGGTTCTGTGSCTTTCTTGATTCTCCCCACTTGTCTTCAGCTGAATGACTGACTGTCCTGCTCCTCTCCTCCTTCTGCACTTTATTGTTCGGAGAACAGAACACCCAAGGACAGTCATGGAGGGAACAATGTGTACGCCCTCCTAAAGCAGGTGAAATGAGTGCCAACTGGTATCAAAAATTATTTAAATATATATAAAATACTGACATAAGGCTTCAACCCAAACTCTTAAGAATTATTTCTTGTTAATTTTCAGTGGAAATGGCAGACATGCAATCCATTAATAGACTACAGTAAGGCCTTGTGCAGAAATCTGCAGGAGTTTATATATTTTTGGAGATGCTCAGCTGTAAAGTGTAACTATTTTAAAAATCCCCTTAGTGTGCATAGAACAATAACATAAAGCTGTAATGGCTTAAAACCTTTGTCATTTTTGCAGGCAAAAAAGAAAGCTACTTGACAGTGAAAGTTTGCAGATCATGTGAGAACTGACAACTTCATGTGGAAAAATACTATTAAGTGAAGAAGTACTCTTCAGACCAGCCCATGGTGGAAATCATCTTTAGTTACAGCTCAAAGGCTTTATCACTCAGCCACATTTTCTCATTTACCAGCATACCATAAACAGTTTTTCAATACAATTTAAAAAAGCCAAAAGAAAAAAAAAAGACTAAAACTGACCTGGCTTTGTATTTTGAAATAGGCGCAGTTCTCACAGGTCACCATGAGAGGCAGACAAAGATCACAAGTCAATACGAATGCAAAAAAGTAAGCCTATTAGAGGTATGTCAGGTAGGAAACGTAAAATAGATGTACACTTTAAAGGATATTCAGATACAGGAGATATCTAGCTTGCAGGACAAATCTTTCAGGCAGGATTTTACTCTGGGTCTTTCTTGGATCCTAGATGAAACTCTTTGGGCTCTTTGGCATCTCTGCTCCAAACCTCTCACTTCTGACTCCTGTCTTAGGCAAACTGTCCTAAATACTACAAAACTACTCCATTTATAAAAAGAAATAGTGATACAAGCTTTTGCCATTCTAAATCATGCTACTGTACAGCACACTAACACTGGTTTGATGTGACCCAACAAGCCATAATTGGAT